ATTTTGTGTAGATTTTGATTTTGATTAAATCTTGAGTATTCCAACGGAGATAAGCAACCTTTCGAAACCTGGAATCGTAAAATCGTTTTACAAAATCCACTAACTGGTTGTTGAAATTTGTCGATCATTTGTGTCGTCGAAGTTGTGTGTCCCCACCGTAAGTGAACAATTCCTAAAAGTTATATATATAGAGATCGTCTGATTCCAGATTAAGTTTTGTTCATTGTTATTCTCATTTATGTTGATGTTGTTTTGTTTGTTTCTTACTCGAATAACACTTATCTAAACCTTTGTACCGGCGTCCATTAGTCTGCTTTTTAATAACCGTCACCGTGCCCTCTCCATCTTAAATATATCCTCGCTGCATTCTTTTCACCATTGTGCTTACCATCAGCAGATTTTGCTATTTCTTTCGATATCTCTCTGTTTTGCTACCTAAAATTCGTTTCTTATATTATATGCTTATTCTTTGTGATTGTTATTTGTTCTGATGTACCATAGATTGCAGTAATTTTTTAGTGTTAAAGGTAAATAAATAAATCCTATTGCTTCCCTTTATATTTTCATCCATTGTTGTTACCTCATTGGTTAAGTTTTGGTTTTCTCTTTGTTTGGTTGACAAAAAGTCTCAATAGGGAAGGAAATGAGCTTTGTGGTTCATGGCCGACGAATTAGCATAATGTCCTTATGGATAGGCACAAATAGCTATTCATTGTAAGTACGATTTATCCAGATAGAGTAGAGGTTCTTACCACCTCAACCGGTAGTTTGGAATTGAGTTTGTCTAGAGTCTTGTTTTTTCTTCTAACATCAAAAATCTATTTTAAACTAAATATAGTCTCTTTGATACAAGGCTTCTAATTTAAGTATATGGTTCTAAGTTCTAACGAAGATCTCTTAGACATTATATGCTTCTATAGACATTGGAGCTTCTACTTTTGATTTTGAGTTTAGGGTCTGTATTTTCTTTTCCATCTCCTTTAAACATCAAATCTATTATTATGACCTCGAGCTCAAAAAATTGGTGATGAAGTTGGTTTCCCAAAAAGTTCCAGTGTGTCAACTATTCTCCACCCAAGTTCTCGCAAGGACAGAGCTCCTTGCAGTCGTTGCTGTAGCCGTTATGTTCGCTTTGTTGATGGGTGTACTGAGTTTGTTGTTCGGCGTAAAGGATGGGTGTTCGGGGATGATGGTGTTTATTTTGTTTTTTTTTGAATGAATTTAAAATTATTCAAAAACTTCTTACAAATATCGTTCGGATTACACACTTTTAAATATATGATTCAAAATAGCTTAATACAACCTACTACTCAAAGATAGATTCTTGTCTCGAGCCACCTTTCCATCATCTTCTTACAAGCTTGGAACCCGTATTGCGAGATGGAGTTGATTCTGTTGACTACGTTCTTGTCGATGATCTTAGTTAAGACCGTTGAAGGCTTTGCGCTTTTCCCATGGCGACGCTGATTTCTTTCACGCCAAATATGGTACACGGTAGTTTGAAAAGCATATCTCAAGAGAAATAAATCCTCCTTATGCCGAGTTGATGTGAGTAGCATTATCACCTGATTCCAAAACGGTGTGTATTCCCTAAGCAGTAACTTGGCCGTGATTGTTCTCCAAACCCCCTGTGAGTAGCTGCATTCAAAGAAAAGGTGGTTTCGTGTCTCTTCGGTCCGCCGACAGAGGATACACTCTTCACTGTTGTTAACGTTCCATTGACGCATTCGATCACATGTTTTCAACCGGTTGTTGATAGCCAACCATGTGANAAATGAGTACTTGGGGGTTGCATTCTTGAACCAAATTCCCTTGTGCCATGTATTAATCGGTTGATGATCCCTCAAGAGCTTCCATGTTGCACTTGAGTTGAAACTCGGTTTGAAGA